GCCGAAGATCTGGGGTAACGTTAGGGGGGGGGGAAAAAGGCTAAAGGGGGGGATGCAATGACCGCCAATCGCCCACTCATCGCCGAGAAGGGGCCCGATAGCCCAGCCCGCCCAGGAGCATGCGGATTTGCTATTGGTGGCCTGTCGCCGATCTCTTGGCGATGTGTCGCCGATTCCAGGTCAATGTTCCCCTCCCCTGAGCTAGTCCCCCCCTGTCGTTACCCCTCAGGGCCCCTATTGACATTAGGCCTGTGTCGGTGTGGTGGTGCCTGGGCCACTGCTGGGTCGCAGTCAAGTCGCATGGAACAAGTATCGCAAGCACGTTGCAACCCCGTTGGATCGGGTGTCAGAGGAGTGCGTGAGGATGCGGACTCGCTGGGAGGTCTGAGGCAGACTCGCGCCAACGGGAAGGGACGGAACGGAATGGGAGGGTGGTGGCTCCGAGCGTTGCTATTCGGAGCTCTTGCTCTGGATTCGCCTGACGAATCCGGATTGTTCGAGACCTTTCGGCTGTCCCGGCGGAGTCGGGGCCATCGCAATTGGGGGAGAGATGTTTGTATAGGTTTGGGGCTTGAATGGGGAGTTCATTAGCGCCAGGGCCTGAGACGCAGGAAGAGATGCGCAGGGCCCCTCCCTCTGGTTATCGCGGCGTCATTCTGGGGCGTCGTAAGGAGCCCTCGATCAAAAGGGGGCCATACGAAGGGCATAGCTCCCACAAGCAGGGCATGGCTGCCAAGGAAGGCCTCAGTAAGGCCCCGACGAGCAGAATGGGGGGCCTCCGAGTGGGGGTGGCTGGGGTGATCAGCCGTGGCCTCCGAGCGGCTGCCCGCGCTTGGAGGGGTCGCCTCACAGGAGCACCATGTGCCCCAAAAGCCGCTCCTTCACCAACCTGAAACACATCCCTATCCCTCATAGTTGACACCGCCTTGTCTCGATGCCGACCTTAAGGATTCCCCTCAGCTTCTGAGGGCGCATCCCTAAGATTGCCATCGCCCACGAGCTTGTCAATCGTAGGGAGAGGGACGAGCTCGAGGCTGGTGAGCCCCGCCCCCTCCGCCCCTGTTGGCCCCTGGCCCCCGCGGCAGGCCGCCATCGATCCACCCCCCCCTCCCAAGCGCGTCCACTCCAGAGCCTGCCGCTCTGGCCTTCCGCGCCCCCGCGCCCTCGGGTCAACGCTCGTGAGGTGGGCGGGCCTGGGTGCGCCGAGGGCTCCTCGTAGCCTGTTCGATTCGGGGGCGGCCAAGAGGGGGGTGGTGACAAGGGGGGTTGGATATCCTGGCGGGGGCCATGATATTTACTCGGATTTCATGGCGCCTCTTCTTATTTTGATACGTCCCTGGCTTTCCCTGGGCCGCGCACATGCCGCTGGCCATGACTTGCGACCCCCCTCTTGGACGCCCCCCTCTTGGCCGCCCCCGATCGGGATGGCACCACCCCAGACCCGCTCGTATAATGAACAATCACGACGGGCGGTTCTCGCCGGTCCCGGGGACCGTCCACTCAAGGACTCAGGGTGAAAGTCCAGTTCGAGTAAGAAGGGTACAGGCCTCTGGGGGTCGACGATGTGATCGAAATCATTACGTCGGGGATCTGATACGTGGGTTGCGTTTTTCTCATCGCTTGTTGTCGGGGCTGGCTGGGAGCTCAGATTCAGGCTGGCCTCCAAGGGCTTTCTGTTTGCTCAGTAGAGAGTTGGTTCCAACCTTGTGGGTCCAGGCATTGTTGGCTGGCCCTGGGTGTCCCGCCCAGGGGGGTCCACTCACGGGGTCCTGGTCTCTGGCTGCCCCGGTTGTCGGTGGTCTTGCGCTGCTGCTAGAGCGCCTCGCCCATGTGGTTCCGCCTGTGTCGGAGGAAGGGGACCCGGCTCTCCAACGATACGATTTGCTCAATCAGGGCGTTTTGCTTCGATTTCGGCATCTAGGGTCCGTCATGGGGCCCTGGGACAATCAAGAGTGGAGCCGGGGCGCAACAATTGGCCTCTTGGGCCGCGCATTGAAGAAATCATGTCGTCGCATGACTGGGGAAGCGGCACCACCACCGGGGAGGGCCAGCGATGAAGGGCCGCGACGCCTCCCCGAGCCCTGGGCTCGGATATGTCTCGAGCGAGAGGGCGAGAGGGGGGAGGCACACCAGGAGATTCCCTCTGGCTCAGCTGGCTCATCGCGCGGGCGGTGGTGGTGGTGGTTTCGCTTCTTTCCTTGCTCCTGCTGCGTAGTCTCGCCCACGGGTTTCTGGTCTCACCTCTTCTCCTTGCAACACGTCCTTTTGGTCCCCCTTCGTCTGCGCACACTCCTCGGGTCATGATGCGCACACGTCCCTCTTCCTGGTCCTCCTCTATCGGCGCACGAGATCGATGCAGCAAGCGATCGTGTATTGGACTCAGACTCGTGGCTGGGCAAATGTTTTGTTTGTCGCAAGGCGCAGCGGGTTACTCTCTGAAACTGCGATGGGCCTGTGGCCCGCCCACCCTCGCTGGCGCAACGGTGGACCGAGCCGTCAAGAAGGGGATCAGGCCAGAAGGCAGTGCATTGGGAGCAGGATATCTCCAGGCCTTACACATGAGGCCAGAGCAGATGAGGTCCGAGGATCACGCCGCATCGCCGATGACTCATCGGCGATTCGGCTCGATGCGGAGCCATCCACGCCGATGGGGCCGATGCATCGCCGACGTCGCCGATGCATCGTTGATGCATCGGCGATGCACTTGCGATAAACTGGCGATGTGGCATCCTCCGACTCCGTCTGCCCGTCCCATTTGGGAGGCCTCCAACTGTGAGCGTGATGTCAGGCAAGGGCCAGTTGACCTTTGTATGGTTTTGATGAGCTTCTCGACGCTCCGTCTGTTCCTCTCCCCTTGTGCACGTTCAAGTCGCAGGCGCAACTTGGCTCCAAATGTCGAAGCCGCGCTCGTCGATCCTGAGCAGGCGTGGCGGCGCCAGTTCATCTGAGCGGGCCATGCAATTGCGAGTTCTCACCGTGCATGCTGCGTATCGCATGCAGCATGCAAGCCGCGGTCCGCACAGGGACTTCGCGTTGCCGAGGCCTCGGGCGCTCTCCCTGCCATGTTGCGGGAGGGCGCGCGGGGGCGTAATGCTTCAGAGGCTCTATTCAGCGCGTCACGCTGCTGGCAGCGCGGGTAATAGTCAGGTGTGTTGTTTCCTCCCCTTCCTCCCTTCACTCCTTCATTGCGCCGTCTGTCGCAAGATCCAGTTCTACTATGGCTTCGCGCCTTCCCGCCATCAGTGCGGAGTTCCGCCGGTGGGCATCCACTGCGTGCCATCTACCAATTTCGAATCCCGCGCTCTCCATTCTTTGCCTCTCCTCCTCCTTTCCCTCCGCCTCCTCAGAGTCTATTTTTCTTCGCGTGCACTGCAGTGGTCATGCGGGTGCCCAGACTGACAGGCAATCGGGGGATGACTTCTGAGGGCAATAATTTGCATTTTTGCCCAAACTCCGAATCCACGGTTGCGCGTGACGGCTCGCCCTTGGCAGGTTGGTTGGAGCGCCGTTCCTGGCTTTTGGGTGGATTCTCTAGCCTCCCCCCCCTTCCCCCTCCTCATCTTTTCCCCCCACCCAGGATGCGGTGACGTTTTCCTGGCAGGCCAATCTACAGCTTTGCCGTTTCGTGGGCTCTGCAGCGGCTCGTCGATGGATACGGGGATAGCCCCTCTGAGGGGCACCGATGGTGCAGTATCAGTTCCCATCAACTCCCTCTGCAAGGAATGTCAAAGCCGCGCTTGCTCGTCCTGCGGGCGAGGGGATCATAGTGATCGCAAGCCGTTTTGGGGGAGGCTATGTGCTGCGCCCCCCCCCCCCCCTCCCAGAAGTGGTGTCTGCATGCCTGTGCGTCTTCGTTCTTGTTCACGGGCGGCAGCACTGGCGTTATGCTCTGCATGATCTGAGCTTTCTGTCCTGTTCCAATACCGTCTCCGCGGCCGCCTCCTCTCGCCCCTTCTGAGCATGGTGTAAGCGTTGCTGCGCTGTGACTCCGCTCCGTGGCAGGGCGCCTTCAGCTTCGCCCTGGCCTTCGCCCCCCCCCCCCCCCCCATCCGAGGCGCACCCTGCTTTTTGTTCCGCCTGCCTCTCTGGGCCAGAGGGGGCAGCACTCACACAGGCGCCCAGACAATCGTTTCACGTCCGCGTCCCGCCACTCGGGGGGCGAGGTCTCCACCCGCGTCGAGACCTCGAGAGCGAGGTTCCCCAGGATCGCGCTGCATTGCTTGGAGCCTTGTACGTCTCGAACTTAGGTGTTTAAAGTGCACTGGTGCGCGCCAGCCCTCCGTAATCGATCAGGAAGAGCCGATTTAGGGTCGACTAGCTTCGTTTTATCGCCGATTCAGCGTCGACTAATTATCGTCGGCAAGCGTCGACGCATCAGGGCCAGCACGACGACATGGGAGGCTCTGCCAGCTGCCACAGAGCCCTCACCCGAGCGAGGGAGAGCGCGCGGGCTCCCCCCCCCCCCACCCACTGCAGCTGGCACCGGCGGCGCCTCCCAGAGGAACGCAGCAAAGTAGCCTCGCTCCGGAGGGCCGCTGATGCCCCAGCCTGCCCCCTCCCACAGGGAGAGTTCAGCGGGCGAGGAGAGGTACAGCGGGGGCCCTCAAACGATGTGGTGACCACACCGTGTGGTCAGCCAGGGCGAATTCGAAGTCTCCGCACGGGTCGGGGACTCGAGCGTCGTTCTCCGAGGATGTCTCGGGCGACCGGGGCCTCCAGGATCCCAAAATCGTGTGGTGACGGACCGCGCGGTGAGGTCTCTTTGGGTTCAAGGTCACCATGCGGTCTGTCACCACCCTGGGGGCCCCGAGACATGGGCCTCACCTTCGCCAGGGGCGCTGCCGGGGGCGCCTGTCTCCCGCCTGTTGGGAAGTGTATACCCCCGCGGCGGCAAGAGGGGGTATAGACTCTCCAGCCGGCTTTGGACGTGCGCCTTTGGTGTCGGTGCAGCGTTCACACCGGTCTTCGCCTCCCTATGAAAGAAAAGCCAGAGTGCCTGCCGACCGGAGGCCGAGAACGTCGCGTTCGCGAGCGAGGTTCGCAGCCTGCAGAGACGCCTCGCCGAAGTGCGGGCGCAGAGACAGGCCACCTCTCCTGGAAGCGAGGAGGAGGGCGACGCGGCGAGCAGGTTCGAGGGCAGGGGTTCCTGGATGTCTTTGTGGATCCTTTTTTGGCCACGGCCTCCGGGAGGCTTTTCCTTGCCACGCTTGGATTTGATTCGGAACTTTTGCCAGAACGCGTCTCTGGGCATGTCCACATATAGATGAGGAGCACGGGGGAGGAGAGGGGACGGCAAGGAGAAGGGAGAAGGGAGAAGGGACGGTAAGGAGGGGTAGAAGGGATGATAATGAGGAGGGATAGAATTGGGGGGCAGGGTGCAGGATGAGGGAGGAGGAAGAAGACGAGGAGGAGAAGTTCTGGAGTGGATGGAGGAAAAGCGGAGGCAGGAGGAGGGAGGAGGGAGGTCGTCGTCGTCGAACGATGGGAATGGCAGTCCGCCGTCTTCTTCTCAACTGGCCGTCTTGTACCTGCTAGATACATGAGCAACAGCAGACATATACAAGAGAGACAAAATCACAAGATCACAAAATCAAAGAAGACGCGCCTCATGCCAGGCTTCCTGCACTGGATTGGCGAACGGGCCTGTCGAGCGAGCTACGACAGGTCTGTCGAACAGCGCGGGCCGCCGCTTCGGCAGCGCGGCGGGCCGCGCGACGGCGCCTGGCCTCCTCTCGGTGAGCAGCAATCCGCGCGCGCTGGGCGTCGGTGAGAGGGATAGGAGACGGAGGGGGGGGGGAGGGGGGGAAGACGACGGAGGGAAAGGAAAGGATCCGAACGCCCAGGTGGCAGCATCTTCCTCGGCACAGTCGAGGAAGGCCTGTCCCTCGGAGGCCTCTATATCCTCCGAGGGGTCCCCAAAATGGGGGCTCGAAGGAGGGCTCTCTTCCAAAGTAGCCTCCACCGCCTCATCTCATCTTCCGACTCCTGAAACCTGGCCGGCTCGGGGTCTACGTGTCGTCGCCTACGGCGACTCCCCGAGGCCCCCGCGAAATGGGGTTGAAGGTTGGGGTCAGGGTGGGAGGAGGAGGATGTGGAGGGACCCTCCCACGAGACGTACAAATCAAGGATTTCGGCCTCAACGAGGGCGGCGTCCTCCACAAGTTTCAAGTCAGCCTGACAGGCCGACTCAGCACAAACCTGAAAGCTACTGGCACTGATGCCCTTGGCAAGGGCAAGGCACATCCCCAGAGGAGGGAGGAGGGAGGAGGGAGGAGGAGGAGGAGGAGGAGGAGGAGGAGGAGGAGGAAGAACCACACTTCACCAGCACGCGAGTGAATAATCAGGCTGCGTTGATCCACTGCGCATTGGCCACATTTTCCGAATGGCACGAGATCTACGCCCGCCTCGAGGAAGAAGCGGTGCTGCGCATCCCCCTGGTCAGGGTCATCAGGGGTGACCTGTCGCTTCCCTTTTGGCTTTCCAAGTCAATCGTTGCCACGCTACCTGATGCTTCTCTCGGGATCCCCACTCATCCGAAGTGGCGGATGGCTGGAGCTGCGGCAGCCGCAAAAGCAAAGCTGGCACTCGGAGAACGCGACCGCAAGCTTCAAAAGAGAGCTGCAACGGTCCTTCTGCCTTGTGAGCACACTGTATCTTGATAGCCTGGAGTGATTGTTCTCTGAGAGGTTGGTAAACTATTCCCCCCAGAAACGTAGGACAATCTATCCCCTGGACCCGTGTGCGATATACATTGGTGTAGATGTCTAGTTGTTGGGTCAATGTTGCTTTGACAACTCTTTGTTGGGGATGGACCACAGTGTCCCGCTTCCACAACCCATCCCAGCAGAATTCGCCTGATAATTTCTGTTGTCTCGGATGTCGGGCCCCTTACCCCCAGGCTCATTATTTGATGCGTCCTCGTTTTCGTGAAGCTGTATCTCTGACTGTTCGCCGTGCCCTCCCCGATTGCCCAGTCGTGCTCCTCGGGCTGCCCGAACCTTCTCCTGATACTTCGGTACTTCCCGCAGCTGCATTTCATCTCCATAACATTGTGAGTCGTCTCCCCAGGGGTGTCCGAGGTGTTTCCCGTGGCGAGGTCCAGGCGATCCTGCCACAGGTGCGGGCGCAGGTCTGGCGGCTGCTGTGCTCTTCATCGCGATCAGGAACTTCTTGCGCCTCGGCTACGGGCCAGGAGGAGGAGGAGGATGAGGATGAGGAGGAGGAGGAGGAGGAGGAAGGAAAGGAGGATGAGGAGGAGGAGGAGGAGGAGGAGGAGGAGGGGGAGGAGGAGGAGGAGGAGGAGGAGGAGGAGGAGGAGGGAGGAAGAGGAGGATGAGGAGGAGGAGGAGGACTTCGCCCGCCGTTGCCTTTTGGCGTCTTGTTCTCGTCCTGACGCCCCCCCTCCCGTATGCGTCGTTTTGTATTTTGGCGCTGCCCATCCGATCCGATTATGATGCGACATCGATTCGACGCGCGCTCTGATCCGATCAGACCCCCCGATTAGAACACCCTGTTGGGGCACGTTTCAAGATCCAGAGCCCGCAAGCAGCAGTCCACGATGCAACATCAATATACGAGAGAAGGGGCGGCGACATCTGGGGACCTCCGGCAGAGTCGGCCGCTCAACGTTAAGCGATTCGCGCGGTGCCCGAAGCGATCTTGCCGTCTGCCCTCCCATCCCTGGTGCTATCAACATGAACGCAAATCCCTATCCCCATTATCCCTGATATCAGCGCCGCTTTATCTCAATGGCCGTTTTATGTGTTCCCTCAGTGTTTGATGGCGTCTCGGGTTCCTTCACTTTCGGAATGCGCCTCCCTGAGGTTGATACGGATACGAAGCTTGAGGCTGGTTGTGCTCCTCTGCCCTCGACGCCCCCCCCGCCCGCGCACAGGTGTCATCCGCGCGAGGCTGGCGCCCTTGTTCCCGTGCGACCACCCCACGACACCCTCCGGCGGGGACCGACCCTTCGGGGCGCGTGTTGGCTTTGCTTCCATCGCAGAGCAAAACGCACGGGTCTTGTTTGGATCCCTGCGCGTTTTTTTCCTGGATCGGCGTGGCCCTCCCTGGTGGCGCCTCCGACACCGCCCCTGGCGCGCTCCGCGCGCCAAGGGGGGGGGGTCCAGCGCCAGTCCACGAAGTCTGCGCCGACCTCCGAGAAATCATAGTTATGTACTGTTTTGTTGTTTGGTTCCAACTCGACCCCGTGAAGAGCAGCGGACGGGAGCAGGCGACCCGCTAGGGCACCCGTGCACCACCATGCCTGGCAAGGATTTTCCTGGGCCGTGGGGTGGTGCATGAAACCCCGCTAGTTTCGGCCAGGAGGGCGTCTGCACCAATGGCAGCGCACAGAATAGCCATGACAAGGCGCGGTCGGTCGTGGTGTACGGACGGCTTCTGCGCAGGTCGACGATCCCCAGGACGTGTGGTACTCCAGTGCGACCGACGAAGAATAACGGGTTTGTTTTCACCAGCATTGGTGTGTAAGCTGCACGCGTCAGGTCTCGCGTAAATGCCTTCGCTTCCGATGTGGCGCGCCGTGTTGGCGGCCCGCGGAACCCGCCGCTAAGGTCGCTATGCCATATCGCGGGTCCCCACATTTTGTTTCGTCCCCTTGCGTGTTTAGCCCGTTCAGCTCTTCCGATAGCACGCAGCCTGCGTCGGCCCTCAATGTACCGCGTCGCATTGGAGAACTTCGGTGGACAACCACGCGTTGGCGCGAACACGCGCTCTGAGGATCATCGTCCCGGGTCGCCGACGCCGTTGCCGCAGGGGGCGGCCGTTCATTGTCGCTTGGAGTGGCGGTATGAGGGGGTGTTTTTAGATCGATGCCTCCCACAACAGGGGCCCGATTGTTGTATGGGGTCGGGGGATTGCGCCACATCGCCAATGCATCGGCGATGCGGCTCGATATGGGGCCCGATTTTTTCCACCCCGAAGGCGGCGATGCATGCGATGCACCGTCGCTGCATCGACGATGCGGTGTGTTCTTCCGACCTCATCTCTTCGCACCCCCTTCGGGAGGACTCCATAGGGGGCAGGTGCTTTTTTGGGGGAGCGCCCAGAGGCTTCCGAGTGGGTGTTTGAGGCAGCCAGGAAGGGCCTCCAAGAAGCAGCATCCCTTCTCAGGAGCTCCCCAGCCTTCTCAGAAGGCCACCCACTTTCCCCCGGGGCCCAACGGACAAAAGGTCCATTGTGATCCGATCGGTCGGGTTCGGCCGGCTGTATCATGTTCGATTCCTCTGGCGATCTGATGCGGCTCGATGTTTGCCTGGCGCTGTTGTGCATACTGGCGCAGGTTGGCGGCCGAAGGTTCAGCTCGCTCACGCTCGGTCGGTCCTGCGCAGTCCGCACCAGCCAGGGCGCACGGGCGGGGTCGAGAAAAGAGCGTACTCTAGCGACACACGTACACGATGCCCCCTACAGGCGGCTCGAAACGGTCGGATGCGCCGCGTAAGCACCACGCGGCCGTCGGATCGGAGGAGGAGGAGGAGAAGGAGGCAGCAGGGGATGGAGGCGGGAGCTGGATGACGGTGCTGATGATAATGAGGTTGTGGATGGTGACGACGAAGGTGACGACGGCGATGACATTGACGCTTTTGCGGGTGATGCATTTCGTGATTATGATGTGGATGGGTTGATGATGTTGATGACGATGCTATTGATTGTAAGGTTGATGATGTTGATGCTGATGATCTGATTGTCTGATGGTCTGAGGATGGCAGTAATGATGAAACTGATGATCATGCTGATGATGATGATGATGGTGATGATGATGATGATGATGATCGTAGTGATGGTAGTGGTGGTGGTATTGAAAGCACTGGCGACTACGCCGACGTCGATTGTGACGATGAGCAGGATGATCAGGATAGCGCTGATACGGATGATGATGAATGGTGAGGATGATGATGCAGGCTGGAGACTGGTGATGAGGATGCTGTTGCTAATGCTGTTGTTACTGATGATGCTGACGACGATGCTGATGGTGATGAGTATGCTGATGATGATTATGATGATGGTGATGCTGATGATGCCGATGATTATGACGATAATAATGATGATTATGTTGCTGATGCTGCTGTTGTC